ATATTAGGTTAAATCCTTCAATTTTGACAGATTAGGTTGAAATCTCATGAACACAGATTAGGTTAAAAAAATTATTCGAAGTATTAGAAACCAAATCCTACAAACCAAACAGAGGAATGGATTTCAAATCCAATCCAATCCAAATCCCATGGAATCCAAATCCCTCAAGGGAATCCAAATCCCTCAAAAACATTCCCGCAAACCAAACGCACCCTTATATTCTTTGTGAACCAAACAAACATATTCTAATTCATTTGACAGATTATATATTCACATTTTATTTGCTGCCAACCAAACACTTGGTCAAATATATCAACATTCTATGATAATTCCTTCTACATTCCGTTCACTCCAAAGTTGATGATGAAAGTTACTCGTTGGAACCAACAATGGTACCGACCGTCAATTCATCGGTGACCTTTATGCATCTCAATTGCTATTTTTCACTATTTGTATGCTCAATGAACGCATCATAAATTTATAATCGATAAGTTACCCTATATTTGGTGTTAAAAATCAAAATCAAAAGTTGCTTATCCAAGTTAGATTTTAATGAATTTGTACTTTATTTTATTGTAATGTTGTAGATATTATGTTACAAATTACATTTATATTCATTTTTTTAGATTTAATAATTTTGATTTCAAGTTATATAGATTCGTGATGTAGACGGACCAAAGGTAAAAATAAATAACGTTGAATATCAAAAAACGCCAATCGATCATTTATGAGCATAATATATTAATTTCAGTGTTGTATGTGTCTATTTTAATATGTGTTATAATGTAACTATATATTACTAGTTAATTAATTGTATGTTTGTTTTAGATGATAAAATAATTTAGTTTATAATTAGTTATAACAGTTTAGTGCGATTAAAATAATATAGCATTGAAATATACAAACTAATTATATTTAAAAAATTTATCATAAATAAAAAATAATACAATAAAGGGTTCTAAAAATGAGTTATTGAGTTAAATAACCATTTCCCTCATTTAAATTGGTCTCATAACTATTTTTTTTCCCGAGTTGATCCAAATGTCACTACTTTCGCAATATTCATTGCAGACCTAGCTAAAAGCCAAAAATTCAACACAAATATATGATTGCAATGGCCAGATATGTAGGTCCGCAATTGTGACGGGTCAGGTCTGAAATTGCAACAGGAAACTGGTTGAATTTGACATTTTTTTGTCTTTTAGCTAGGTCTAGAATTGGTATTGCGGATGCAGTGACATTTGGGTCAGCCCGGGAGAGAAATGATTTAAAGGCCAATTTGAATGAGGGAACTGATCATTCATTTAAGCTAGTTTCTATTAGAAAAATAAGGTTGGAGACGAAGATTGAGTTGCAATTATTAAAAAGTCAAATTATCGGCAATAGTCAATCCCATCTTATTCAACATGTCAATTTGAGGATTATAGTGATTACATAAAACACCAAAATCCGTGGATCATCGGAAAAACAAAAAGAATGCTTTTACGTGTACAAACCTATAACCACTCTAAATTCATATAACTAAACCCTATCTTCTGTCTCCATCAATTGAATACGAATGAAAGAGATTGATAAGGATGGAACATCATGATTTTGCAACTTGTATGACCACAAATCATCATTGCTTTGAAGCATTCTCTCTATCTGTATACATTTTAAAGAACATGCCTGCATTTATCATTTTTGTTCCATTCATTTGTAGCATACACACACACACCCCCACAGGATCATCTTATCGCTTTTAATTTTACCCCCATCATATGAATTGTGCTTGGGAATTGATCCGGTGCATTTTGGTGTACCACATCAGTGTTGATTTTCAATTAGAATTTATTCAAAAATGGAGATCCCTTCTTACCCTTCTCATTATAACTTCATTTTCACGGGAAACTAACCCTATATATATATATGGAAACTAACCTTTTATATATATATATATATATAGGGTTAGGTTCCATTGAAAGTTATAGTTGAGAAGTATCTCCATCCTTGCACCAATCCAAATCGAAAACTATATATAGAGTTAGGTTCAGAAGGAAAGTTACAGTGAGAAGTATATCTTTATCCTTGCATCGATCCTAATTGAAAACTAACATTAATGAGATTCACGGGGTCAATTCCCATGAGAAGCGAAATTAATGGAGTTGGGGTGAGATTAAAAGTAATCAAGGGTTTAAATCCCTATATATGTTTCTCACCTTAACACTTATTCTCACATGATTATCCGTCTATATATAATTATATATACACATACATACATAATTCACAGCAAAAACACCGTGAAATTTCAAGTGTAAAAATATGATGCGACGGTGTGTGTGTGTGTATAATTTTGCAAGTAACACTTAAAAGGGAGCTGCTATTACACTTACAACAAAAATAGTGTCATGACCAGGATCAGCAAGATGAGCAAAGAGGTTATCAATAGGTCCAGTCCCAATATAAATGGCTTGGAACCAAGCTCCCATAACCCCCAACATGCCTAACCTTCCATTCTTAATCTCTTAATTTTGTCCTTAACTCCTTAAGCTTTTAACAGACCACCCAACATCTGAATCAGCTAGCTTCCAAAATGTCTGTCCATCTTCTCCCTTCTGCCCACCCAATAAAAAGAAGCTCATCAACAATGAATAATGTGAGTTTTTTAGGAAGGGTGTTTCAGACTATGCCTGAATTAATCTCGGAAAACTGTAATAACAAGAAATCAGGCCTGATAAACTTAGTACAGAATTGTAAACCACAAAGATCGAAATAACAATAAATTGTAAATAACAAAGACGAAAATAGCAATGAATTTTAAACCATAAGGATATAAGTGTAATTTTTCAAAAACTATAGGGATAAAAATTGTAATTTAGTTGGAGAAAGCAAAATGGGTGAAGCAGGAGAAATGGATGCCATATTTGATTTTGATTGGTGGGAAATTGGTGTTAATGTAAGGAAATGGGCTCATCACTTATCGCCAAATGGGCTCGGCCCGGCCCGGGACCGCCGGAGGACCGGGACCGGGACCGACAAAGGACCGGCCCGGGACCAGGACCGGTAAGGACCGGTTATGGGACCGAAAACCGGGACCGGTTGAGGTTTTTGGTAGTTTCGTGGGACCGGGACCGACCGGGACCGAGACCGGTTATGGGACCGACTATGGACCGGCCCGGCCCGGCCCGAAAATTCAATTAATTTTATAAATAAATGTATTTTTAAATAATTTTATAATGTATTTTTATAAGAAAACGTAATTTTAATTATATTAAAACGCATTTTTAAAGTGTATTTGAATGACCCAATTGTAAATTTTATAATGTATTAAAAATATACATCATTAAAAAAATAAAATAAAAAATCTTATTTTTTTAATGAAGGACCGGTTGGGACCGGTGGCCCATAACCGGTTATAAAGTACCTATACCGGTCCTATCATTTTTGACCGGGACCGGGACCGAGACCGGGACCGGTTACGTCGGGACCGGTTATGGCCGGTTATGAGAATGGTGAGGACCGATTAGGACCGGCCCGGGACCGGTTTTTGGCCATCTCTACTTATCAATATCATTAATGGATATTGGATAGAAACAACCCTTCTCTGATTGGTTCTTAGGCTTCCATGTGGGCTTCATCCAATCTCTAGTCTACTCTACTACAATAACCAAATCCAATCTATCAGATTTTGTTGCACATCATGACAAGGAGACTGATTCAATTAGAGTATACTATACTTTCAAAAGGGTAATTTAGTCAATTTCACTATTAATTTGAAATAGTCATGGAAATGGTGAACAACAAAGTCCGTAAGGGTATTTTCGTCTTTATCAAAATATGGTAATATCGTTTTTTGAATTGGTTTAGTCAAAATCTATTGTAATAGAAAGCAAACAAGTCATATAAGCAAGTAAGGAGACAAAGTCGTATGAAGATGTTGAGTGGAATGTAGACATGAACGTGAATTTGTTGATATGAAAAAAGTGGAAGCAAGTAGAAATGTCAAGAA